CACACTCCCCGGGTGCCGGGGGCTTCCAGTACCTCCTGGAGAGCGACAGCCACGCGGGGGAGTACAAGCACGTGCGGGAGTGGGGCTCCCACGCGCAGACAGGCCAGGTCCAGTCCATCCGCAGGGTCCAGCAGTGACCACCGGAGCCACCGTGGCACCAGGCACCGTCTGTCCCGCGGGGTGACGGGGACAAAGCTCAATAAAGGCTCAGTTGTCCAAGGCGGCGCTGGCAGTTGGGGAGGGGGTGCCATGGGGGTGCGTGGCCAGGAGCGATGCCACCCCTGAGGGCTCTGCAGGGGCAACGGTGACCCTGAGGAGCAGGGAATGACCATCCTTTCCTGCACCTGCAGCCAGCACAGGCATCCATGTCACCAACACAGGCAGCTGCAGCCCCTGCCCTCTCTCTCCCTGTGGAGCTGCAGTGCGGTGTGCTGGCCTGTCCTCAGACCCCCTGCTGGCCCCTCGAGGAGCTGTGGGGCCAGGGCAGGGTGTCCAGGCCCGCTGCAGGGGTGAGGAGCCAGGTGCTGGCAGTCAGAGCAGCCCTTGCACAACACCGCACATCCCGCTGGCCTGTCCCTGCGCCAGCCCTGCTGCAGGTCGGGGGCTCTGCAGGACCCCCACACCCCTGGTACCCTGCAAACCCCAGATGTGGTCCAGCCCCAGCACAGCTGGGGAGGACCCCAGTGGCCTCAGCCTTTCTGAGGAGCCGGAAGGAGCTGCAGGCTCCAGGCAGCAGCTGCTGCATTCTGGGCACCCCTCCCTGCACCCATCCTGCCCTCATGAACATCCATGCACAAACCCTGCACCCACACCGCTTGCACCACCTCCTGTGCCCAGAGCAGAGCAAGCCCCTCTGCCTGAAGCAGTGCAGGGGACCAGGCTAAGCCCTGTGTGAGCAGTGAGGTGACACCACGGGCTCACAGCTCCGTGTCTGCCCCAGCAGCACAGCAGGCACAGGCAGCACCTGCTCCTCCCTGCCTGGGCTGTTGCTGCAGGAAACCCGGGGCAGCGAGAAGCTGTTGGGGGCTGCTGGTAAACCATCTTCTTCAGATTGTGAGAAAGCACTGGTTAACTGAAGCTGAAAATGTGCCAGGAAAAGGCTGGTTTGGAAAAACTGTTGTTTCAGAAGAGCTCTGGAGAAAAGGTTTGGTGTGATGGGAAAGTCCCATTCCTGACCTTTGCAGCAGCAGGACCACCATCTGAGACAATGCTGCCCAGGAAGGAATTGTCTCCACAATAAATCATAATTTAAAAAAACAGAATGAAAGAAGAAACAAAAAGTTTTGGGATGGGCTGTGTGAAACTCTCCTGCTGCCCCAGGGCAAGTCTGTCTTGGGACTGCCAGTCAGGGAGACCTGGAGGAGCAGAGCTTTCCAGCCCCTCCATGGTCGCATCTGGTGGGAACCCCTGTCCTGCCCAGCCCACCCTGCCTGTGCCCAGCCCCACAGCCCCAGCAGGACACAGGGCATTGGGAGCTGGGCCAGCACACAGCCAGACATGGCTAACATCTGGCTGTGGGACCGGTGGGTGCCCAGGGACACCGCAGGGACCTGGAGAACAATGCAAGGGCTCAGCAGCAGCAAGGAGCTGTGGAAAGGTTGCCTCCACCCCCCGGGGCCCTGGGATGGGGGTCTTCCCTGCTGGGCATGGCTGGGCAGGGCTGCAGCACTCCTGGTTCCCTCCCTGTGTTGGCACCGTGGTCAGGATGTGCCCAGGCTGGGGGTGCTTGCCATCCTTTTGTCCCCACCAAGCCCAGCTGGGTCCTGCACATCATGTCCCCGCGTGGTTCTGTCCAGCATCCCCTGCCCCGTGTTCCCTACCCCTTGTGCCACCCCTACGGGTATGAGGTGCCCACTCCACCCGAAATGGCCACCGCGGGGGCCTGGCAGTGGGGGGACGGTGGCCTT